CCACGCAGACCATGCGGTGTCGAGTGTGTCGTTGTCTTTCACTCCTGCATCACGGGCTGCTTTGGCGCTGCCGCCCTCCATGGCATGTGCACCAGAGGGCCACGGGCATGGGCATGACCATGACCACGACCATGACCACGACGATGAGACAAGCAGCACCAGCACGCTGACGGCTACATTGGCACTGCTTCTCGGAGCAATGTTGTGGGTCGGTTAATTCGTCATGCAGAGGACTCAATAGAGGTGTGGATGTTCATTCATGTTCAGAGGGAAGCAGGAGGAAGCCCGGCAGTACGAATGGTTCCTATCCGGAAAAATGCCGGGTCGCTTGAACGCCCCCCTGGCTTCCCATCACGATTTTCAAAGGTACATCTTGCAACTGCATTTTCCAGGCAGGGCAACTACTGCCCATACCAGAGGATTGAGTTTCGATTCAGCCCAAAGCCGGGCCTTTCCGACAGACGTGCCTACAAACAGCCGTCAGAAAGCAACGCGAGACTGCAGCAGTTTCGGGGACCTGGTCGCATCGGAGAACTGCGAAAGGAATCCCAAGACGTCTAAAACCGAGTAAGGGTGCTCTCTCCGTGACGCTCTACTCTTCTCGGCTTCCCAGGCTGTGAAAGGCCATCTCAGATGCTCACTGCAAAGCTACTCACCAAGCGCCGACAAGGATGCATCCCAGGGCTCAGGTCCTTGACCTTGATGACACACATGGGGTACACCGTGCAGGCTCTCAACTTCCGTCCTTCCTGCAACCCCACAGCGCACGCACCCCTCCCTCCAGCAACACCTCCAACGAACACGTCGAAGGGCAACCGCTGTGCCCGCTGTGTCGAATCGGAGAACTGCGCCAAGGAATCCCAAAGCTTCTAAATGGAGTAACGGTGCTCTCTGTGACACTTTGCTCTTCTCGGCTTCCAAGGCTGCGAAAGGCCATCTCTGAATAATTCTGAGAGATGCCCTCGGTTTTGCGGAAGTGGTAGCAGACTAGGTAGTTCAGTGGCCAGGTCCGCGGTTTTTTGTGATTTTTTGGCAGGCAGATCTGCAGCAGAGGGGCGCAGCCAGAGCGGCTGCAGCGAGCAGCACGGATGTTGCATCTGGGGAGAGAGTCCTGGAAGCAGCCGAACAAGGAGGGGATGATTGCTGACATTGTCTCTTCGATGAACCTACCAGCTGCTGGGCACAAGACAAACTCGTCCCCGACCCTTGCTTGATGCGAAGGCTTCGTGCCTGGCCCGCACGATGACCTCAGGTGCCCACTGTGCTTCGGCTGTTGCATCATTGTTTGCCAGTCCCTTCCGCGAAGCCGACATCTCCATCAGCTCTTCGTAGGCATTCACGAAACCCCAAGCAAGATTGCTGACTTTCATGTTCCGTAAGGGAAACCGGCTGCTGAAAATTTAGCTCCCTCATCTTCCGTCTAATGTATGTAGAGTCTAGTTTGTCCGAGCTCCTATTTTCAGGCAAGAGGGCTGGAGATGTGTGGAGGGTTGGATCTCCTCCCTCCCTCCCTCCCTCCCTCCCTCCCTGCCTGCCTGCCTGCCTGCCTGCCTGCCTGCCTGCCTGCCTGCCTGCCTGCCTGCCTGCCTGCCTGCCAGGCAGATGCGCGATGCAGTCCTGAGCGAGCCGTATCGGCCTGAGGACCACGTGCTGACTCAGGAGGAGCCAGGGTGTCGTGTCAGCACTTCTTGTCTCAACGATGGCTTGGCAGTGCTATTCATCATTCCACTCTGCACTCAGCTGTTGTACCATACTTGTGTGTGTTCATCGCCACCACTGCTTCGTGCATCTGCCGCAGCTTTAGGAAACTTTCTCCCTCCCCCTCCTCTCGGACAACACGAAAAGCGGGAATAGCACAAGCTTCTGCATTCTATCTGCGCACTTCCACAAGCGAGAGATGTCTTCGCTAGCAGCGCCCGAGAAGTCGTAATATCCCGTTCCTTCGATATACGCAGTCGGCAGACTCGAGGAGATGTGGGCTGGCTTCTCTTCCGAGGCACTGGGTTTCCGGTTTCTGTGTCTTGGGGCGCTTTGAGCAGCTGTTATTTAAAGGGTTCCAGTCGAAAGTCCCTCGCCGGAATCTTGACGAAGCATCCCTCGACATTCGAGGTCCCCACAAGTTCAGGCTAATGCCCGCAATGCTCTGCCCACTGGAACATCGTAACTCATGCCTTGTAACTGATCGTCACTGAGTAGGTTAGATGCACTGACGACTCTTCCCAAAACAAGAGAGACACAGAATCCGTCGTAGCGTTGCTGACATGTTTTGATAAGTCGCAGCATTCCAAATCCGGCACACAAAAAGCCGCGTGTGTCCGTGATCAAGCTGTGCCAAGCTTCCCCGCACAGAGTCCAGATCAGCCGAGTATGTTTGCCAGTTTGATGCAAAAGGTTTCTTGCAGCCTTCAGCCACCGTGAGGAGGAAGCGGTTGAAGCGCCGCTGGTCATGGAAGTTCCAGCTGCCACCAACAAGGCCACGAGGTCCAGGGGTCCTCCAAGGTGTCGGAAATCAGGTTCGGGGGTGGGCATGACGACAGCAATGTCATTGGCTCATTCGCGGGCATCTGTTCTTAAAATGTGGGTTTGCTCCGTTACACGAGGCGGCAAAGGGTACCACCAAGATGGCTCGAAGAGCAGTCGCCGAGCACAAGCACCATTTCCTGCTTGCGTTAGGTCGTGAGGATAAGCACAGAGTGGTCTACGTGCTACTTGTGAGCTTCCCACGTTCTTCAGAGATTCTGTAATAACAATACTACTACTACTACTACTACTACTACTACTACTACTACTACTACTAAGGGTCTCGGCTGGAGCTCGCGAAGCGTGTGCTAGGTTTCCTCCCCTGCCTCTCGTTTCATGGACTGGTTTTTC